ATTGGAATCATACTCGAAGGGTATTTGAGTCCTGGCATATTTTTTTCATGTCTCCAGCTTTCGATATAAAATAATAACTCTACAGAGTTAAAATTTCTAATAGCAAATATTTTTTTAGATTTAAATCAAAAATAACACTTTGCCTACCTATTAAAATATTTTTGAAACTTCTCCCGGACACTGATTTTTAAAAGCTTAAATGTGTTGTTTTTTTATCTATATATCTTAGTGACAATTTGCAAAAGCATTATCATTATCATCTCAATAAGTTCTATATTTTAAACACCATACATTTCACGGTACATATATGATACATCGATAGAGAATATGCTTTTGAAGAAAAATTAAGGATGATTTCCCCCCTCAATATAACTATTTCATGTAAAATGTAATACATTTAATTTGTATACAATATGTCTAATGATAATATTTATAAACACAGACATCATTATTTTGAATAACAGTTATATTTCTACCGTCATACATTACATAACGTGGCGCTGAATAATCGTTTCCAAAATGTTAAAGATTCTGCCTTTAATGTAAGTATGTAAACATTAATTTTACAATTAATTTACTTTTAATCAGATTTAATTACTTTTATTTAGAAGTGTAACTTTAAAAATAATATAACATCTTAGCAATTTATACTAAAAATAATTCGAAAAGATATTGAATTTAAACAGCTTTCAACGGAAGAAAACGACATTTGCAGACGCTCATTATGAAACATTTTCAGCTAGTGCAAATTGGAAAAATGTAGCTGCATTTGCATCTGTATTTTATGGTATGTATGGATTTTAGTTTTAAATCATACGATGACCAAGAAAAGGGGAGGGGAGAAATTTGCTACAAATCAGAAGAAAATTAAATTAAATTTTAAATACTGTGGTTCGGAAAGAATTTTCCAAGAGGATTTTACGATAGCAGCATATTTTTGATATAATGCCAAACTTAACACTTAGTTAACCCGGATATCAAATCAAATTCAATTCTGTGATTATTAAATAAGTATTACATAGTAAATACTTTACTACAACGTATCTGCACGTAGAATGATGGTCCATAAGATTTTATATCTGCCAAAGACTTCGAAAATTTTGGAAGAGAAAAATACTTCAGCAGACATTTCTAGCCTTCTAAGAGAAGCTGCAATAAGACATTAGAAACATTAGAAAAATTAGAAAGCTCGCGACATTAGAAAGCTTGCGAGGAAATGTTTGAGAAACTTGTCTTTTATATTTAAGAAAATATCTTCTATCTTGGAAATTTCGATATAGAACTAAACTTAATAATCAGAACATCGTTATTGATATAAACATCGTTTTTTAATACCAGTGCTTTTTTAATGTTGCAATTATTAATGATTATTGATTCTATGAAACTAGCTTTTCCAATTAATTTTTATCTGTTTATTGTTATTAATGGATAAATACTACAAATAAATATTTAGATTCCATATAGATGTTTTCTTCACAGTTTAAACGGAGAGTTCCCCCTTACACTACAACAGTATAAAAGAATGTAATCATTAATGGGTTTAAACTCTAGTTATTTTATCGAAACTTACAGGTTTGTAAATTATGTACAAACTGAAATTTAATTAGCAAAGTGGAATGATATGTTGATGCACAGCGTCACAAACACCTGTACAGTGAAACAGCAGTTCAATAACATTCGTTTGACTGATAACCAATTTAAAAAACGTACCATTAGTACCGCAAGTGAGCGCTTTTAGAACTTTTTTACATAATAACACTTTATTCAAATCTGGGAACTTTTAATTATTTATTTTATCCTTATGGATGCGAAAGTATTTAGTTTATATTATTTTGTTTTGAAATGATCAAATGTTTTTGAAAAAAAAAAAAAAAAAGAAAAGAAAAGAAAAGAAACTTTTCTTACTTGTCCAATTCTGACGAATTCAACTTGTCTGGCTTCTTCTTTCCTTCTTGATGTTTTAGAAGCATCCGATAATACGTCACTGAAAGCTCTTCTATTAAGCATCGTCTAAAAATGCAACGAATAAATTAGTAATATTAATGGCTGAAAAATATGTAACGGAAAAAGCTTGTTAAAGAGAAAAATATAGATAAAGAAATAGAAACATAAAAGATGAAGAAAAATAATTATATTTTTACAATAAGAGAATAAATGATAAAGCATAGACAAAGGCAAACAAAAAGTGTCTCCAAGGATCTATATAAAGACGAAAGAGAATAAATAATAAAGTGATTAACTAAATATTCCTCTGAAAATTGAAGAAATATAGTATAAAGCGCTAAAAGTGTAAACATTTCCACCGGAAATAAGTTAATACCATATATACTTCGGTTTTGAATTGTAAATTTTTGTATCTATTTTGCTCTACTGCATAGGTAAAATTTTAATAAAAAAATGCTTTCATATTCACTTACATTATTGTTCTCTATAAATAGCCATGTTTGATTTAACTAAGCACGATTAAAACTTGTCAATCAATAAAGCTCAGTATCAAAATATTTTCTTTCTCTTTTTTGAATGTATAATATCTTTCCGATTATTAGTCCAAAGGGGCAATTTGCTCAGAAGGACTATTAATTTCGTTTTGCAAGTTTGAGTTGATTCACTTTCTGCGTCGTTTTAATTTCAAATTGTTGCCACCAAATATTATCGCCCTGTCTTATATTTAAGGAAATTAACTAATGAATAATCTGCATAAATGTATACACGTTTCTCGCATTGTGATAGACCAACGGTACTTAGAGCCATCAAATTTTGAATAATGTAATCTTTCACCGAATGTAGGCATCTAGTAGTCCTAATTTGAAATTTAGAATTTGATTTATTATCGATTTCATATTTTCTAAAACTTTAACGAATTTTTGTTAAACAAATTCAAGGATTTCAGAGCCAGCAGTGGCAACGTTGTACAGAAAAAAGCATTTTTATCTCAAGCTCGCGAGACTCTGTATCCGAAATTCTAAAGATATGCTCATTTAAAAATTATTTTGCGATATTGCCGTTGAACTGAATTTTATAGTTTAGTAGAAAGAATGATTTAATAAAATGTAAACACACAAAACGTTAAAAAACGCCCCTTTGGACGTTAATGTAAATCTGAAACTTTCAGATTTTTTATTTATTTATTTTTTTTTTTTCCTTATAATGCTGTTTTTTTTTTTTTTTTGTTTTTTTTTTTACGGAACTGTGTACATTACATATTTGTGATGTTTTTGTTTCCCAGAAGTCTTAGATAAATCTTCTTATCACGAACTAATTCGCTCTGTCGCGACAAGACTAAAAATGCTCAGAGCAGAAAACTGATATTCATTATATAAAATAATCAGTTCAACACATTATTGCTATATATTTAAAATTATCAGTTCTAGGAATTACTGGTCCATTTAATGGCATCATCTTTTATTACCATATCAAGTTTATTTTAGCTAGACCAGTATTTTTCATTACCATTTTGACTTTAGAAACGGATTTTCCATTGAATTTTATGTAACTATCTTTGAGTTTGGAAGCTTGAATTTTATGTAACTATCTTTCCTTGTACGAAGTAAAGGAAGTATTGTAATCGCGAAAAATTTCGGTTATCATATTTCCCCGAAAATATTCACTTTGTCCGCTTCGAATACAATTCCACCAAGTTTTTGAGTGATATCTGTACATAAGGACAGGATATAGGGCTCTTTTTTCCCAAAACGGACTGCAAAATGGATTTATAACAGATTCAGAAGAGATTTTTTTCGTGATCTTTGTACGTACCCACGTACGTACATATGAATGTATCTCGCCTAACTCAAAAATGAGTAGCCTTAGAACATTGAAATCTTGAATTTAGAACTACTATAATACGTAGTTGGGCACCTTCCCTTTATGGTTATAACTGGAGGCATCAAACGTGTATATATATATATATGTGTGTGTGTATGTGTGCGTGTGTCAGATAAAAAAATATATGAATCAAAATTATCATTTAAACTAACGGTAACTCTTTAATTCTCCCCCTCTGTTTTAAAAATCGTAATAACTTTTCTGGATTGCGTCATTTCTAGATCATTCCATTTTGCATGGCCTGCGCAAGCGCTGATGACGTAATAATTGGGAACTGAAACTTTTAATTCATACCAAAACCTTTCTCTTCGTGTTCTTCCACAAAGGTTAACTACGCACTTCAGCTTGAGCTTCTGTGCTGCTTGGTTATCAAAAATGTAAATGTTCTTGAATAGGCACGACTAAAGCGAAAGTTAATTGTGGCCACATACGTCAACTGCAAAATAAAAATGGAATTAAAAGCGCCTCGACTGCCAAATTTCTTAGATATTACGAACTCAAGATATTAGCATACTACGCGATCAGAATGATTTTTCTTCAATATGGAACTACTATATATAGTTTTTACGCATGAACACTGCTCCGTCTTTCCTTGCTATTATTACATATTATGCATATATATATATTGTTGCGTGCGTACGGGTTCGCTATGAAATGAATGCACAAGTCCGATGAAAAAGGAACAAAAATTTATTATTATCACAACAAAAATGCTTAAATTTTCTCAAATTATCATGCAGTATTACAATTTCTCACAGTAGTTATCTTTTAACTACTCAAATATCCAATAGAACGCAATTCAAAACAGCTAAAAAGACCTAATCCGCGAATTCGCTACAATCAACAAAGCAGTTTTCTAAACAACAAACAACTAGCAACTACCACAAACTGAGATGTTTTCCTCCTTTATAAGATTTTAAAATCACGCGCGAAATTTTCCAGTACTTTCCTCGAAATCAAAAAATATATTTATTTATTTAACGCACGCGCTCTGTATTTTTAATTTTTCCGGCTTAGCTTTCTTTAATATTCGTCACGCGCTGCACTGCGCGAAAATAAAACGATTTAATTTAATTGAACTAACATTAGCTTTTTAAATACCAAATTCGTAACACTGCCCCCTTCCCAAGGACTGCACGTCCCGGGCATACATCCTGGACAGGAAGCTAAAACTACAACTGTGGCATAATGCAAACTGAGGCATAAACATTACATACAATATCAACAATATAACAATAAATGCAATAACTAACTTAAACAAATCAAATGCTATCAAATACAAATACAAAAATACTAAATACAAAATCAAATACTAAATTCAAAAATACTAATACAATCAAATACTAAATACCAATCAAATATAAAGCAAATCAAATACTAAATACACATTTAAAAAACAAAAGGACCATGGTCTTATACTATTTACAATTATTTACATTATGTACTATGGCCATAGTAATGAGCTAACCTGTCGTAATGAACGACTTTAGGTTTAGAGTTCGAAGACTTACGAATCCGAACCACGACGTCATTCAGCCTGTTCAGGACTGTGTACGGCCCATCCCAAGGTGACTGAATTTCGGACAAAGTCCTTTCCGTCGAGTCGGATTCCACAACCACAACCTTGTCTCCTTCGTGGAATTGATGTTCATAGCTCTTGTGTCGTAAGGGTCTTCATCTTTCTTCGTCGCCAAGTTCGAAATCGCTCTCGTGCAAAGTTGTGCATCACTTCAAACCGGGCCTGGGAATCTTGAATATATTCCTCAGACGATGAAGGAGCATCCGGAGGGCGGGCCAAACAATAGATCACAAGGCAGACGAAGGTCACGACCGAAGAGCATCTGTGATGGAGCTCGGTAGTCTCGTGGACAGCACTGCGGTAAGCCAGTAAAAAGAGTGGTAATTTCTTGTTGCCAGTTCTGTTGGTTACGGAAAACCACTAATGAGAGGTTATTAAGGATGGTTCGATTGAACCTCTCTACCATGCCGTCCGACTGGGATGCAATGGCGTCGTTTGGAGTTTTTGTCAATGCCAAGTAGTTTGCATAGTTCTTTTGATTACTGCCGAGGCAAAATTCCTTCCCTGATCGGAATGTAACTGAAGAGGCACTCCGAACCTGGAAATCCAGTGCTGTATCATTACCTCAGCTACTGTGACTGCCTCTTGATCAGGAATAGGATAAGCTTCAGGCCACCTGGTGAAGTAATCAATGACAACAACGAGTATGTATTTGTTGCCATCAAGCAGTTCGTGGCAGAGGTCCCAGGATATCAAGGCGATACGTTCAAAAGGGCGCTCACGTTGTAACGTTGCAGTCTGCCTCGGCTGCGTTTTCCCTCCTCTCCTCGGTCCTTTCCGACCTGCACAGGCATCGCAAATCGGCATCACTTTTGCACGTCATCCTTTGCATTATTCCAGTAAAAGCGCTCACGAACTCTCTGCAAGGTCTTCATTATTCCAAAGTGACCTCCAGTAGGGTGCTATGTAACTCTTTTAAGGACATCAGGAATGCGGGATCTTGGAAGTATAAGTTGCCATCGGAACGTCTTCCCATCATCCGATTCGAATTTCCGGTATAAGACGCCGTTTCGAATGTGAAGTGAATCCCAGAGTGCCCAATATTGTTTGGTTGGTAGGACTACAGATAGAAATGTCCTGCCAGGTAGTTTTCTGTTTGATGGTTTTCTGTTTGACTCCATTAAATCAATTATGGGTTTAATGTCGCGGTCTTCCAGCTGGTCTTTCCTGACTTCATCATCACTCCACGGTTTCTCGATCAGCCGATGTTGATGTTGTAATTTGTCTTGCGACCGGAGTCAGCAGCTCGTATTTCGCTTCCACCCTGGAACAATATCGGCAGCTTTCTTGGCAAGGTCTTCTAGACAGGGCGTCGGCGTTTCCGTGTGATGATCCCTTACCCTTACGATGACGGATAATGATGTCATATTCTTGGAGTCTCTGTATCCACCTGGCTATTTGACCCTCAGGATTCTTGAAATTTTAAAAGCCAGGTCAATGATGCATGATCGGGTGCGGAGCAGGAATTTTCTGCCGTATAGATAGTGATGGAAACTGTTCTACAGCTTTGACTATGGCGAGCAACTCTTTCCTGGTGACACAATAATTCCTCTCCGGTTTAGACAGGCACTTGCTCCAGTATGCCACCACTACACGTTCTGGCCGT